TGTATGTATGTATGTATGTATGTATGTATGTATGTATGTATGTATGTATGTATATATATATATATATATATATATATATATATAAGCTTTGGGTTTAGATCCTGAACCTGAGATTAACCTGTACCCAGCCTTACAGTTCGGGCAGTACGCCCACACGAATCCCCGGTTGCCGTATGTAAACAAACCAACCGGGTATAGTTCAGTAGCACTACCGCCGCTAAATAACAGAAGGTAGGCAGCTTCTGTTTGTAAAAACAAACCAGCCGGGGATCCTGTGTGACGTCAACTGACTTCATCAAATGTGGTCATGATATTAGAACAATGATGTCACCCAGTATGCTCGGCTGTTTATGTTTACAAACAGCAGCTGGCTAGGAATCTGTCATTTTGCGGCACTAGTGCAGCGGGGTGTGGTCATGTGGAGATGAGTCATCAAGACGGTGGGGCAACATGGTCAGGCGGCTCATAGTGGAGGTTCATCATGATTGACACTGCATCTACATCTCTGGAAGACGTGATAAAAGATAAGGCTATACACTGTGGGACGCTATTTACTTTTTTTTTGCAATAAAGGATTTTATCACGGTGTGGCTGTCTTTGTTTATTTTAACATTTCTTTGGGAAACTATAAAGGGTACTGTCAGATTCTAATAAGCCCCCTCAGACCTCCACATCGTTCTTAGGCCCGGATGTGGTAATGAAGAGAGTACATAACAAGAAAAGTCACCCAGCTTGGGTGACTAGGAAAAGGCTGGCAGCGAGTGTGCATCTCCCCCTTTCTGAACCATACCAGGCCACATGACTTTGAAAATTGGAAGAGTACCCTACGGGAGGGGGGGGGGGGGGGGGGGGGGGTTTTTGGGGGTATTCTTGCGAGACAGATTGTCCCAATTTAGAGTGGACAAGAGCATCTTTTCCGCATCCCACATCCCAGTTTTCCAGACGTTTACCTTGGGGAATGAGTACAGGGTACATGAATAGCAATTGTGAATCAATCCCAGAAACAGGTCAAAGTAAATAAACACACCAACACCTTAAACAAAGTCATTTAATGACATTACAATAAAAAAAAGTAAACAATGTCCAACTATGTAAATTCATTGCTATCCAGAGATGTAGATCTAGCCCCATACCTGATAATCTTGCCCCGCTGCACTACCAATGCAAAATGCAGACATCCCAACACTCCTGGATGTTCCGAGAGTCTCCCGGAAAGGTTTACTCTGCTCTATCTCTTTTTTTTTTTTACATCAGGGCCATCAGTCAGAGAAAAAAAAACAGCATAGGAATGAATAGCTAGATTGCTATTGGTTATTTAAATTTGCAATAGCCAATAGCAGACTAGTTATTGCACCCGCCCACTACTGCTGTCAATCAGCAGAGATGGACCTGAAGTTCTCCATCAGGTCCTCCTCTGCTGATTGACTGCAGCAGAGGGTGGGTGCAATAGTTAGCTTGCTATTGGCTATTGAAATAGCCAATAGCAATCTAGCTATTCATTCCTATGTGTTTTTTTTTTTTAAATTCTGATGGCAGCAGCTGTCAGAATACTGGAAAAAACCCTGCAGATAGCACTGGAAGCAATAGCTTCTTTGCTTTCTGCCATCATTTCAGGGGGCTGCTCTCTCCACCCTGAAATTACTTTTTTTCATGTTGGGATCCTTGAAAATGACAGATCCTTGGCTGACTGTTTTTGTAAACAAACCAGCCAGGGATTCTTAGGAATGCTATTAAGCATAGAGAAAGAGAGTCTTTGTCAACATATTTTCTGAAAATAGTACATTATGCTCATTGAGGAAGCATACAATTTGACATATCAATACTAGAGGCACACCTTAAATCTATACATAAAATATAAACATGAAAATATGATACATTAAGGAAGTAAACGTTGCTGTAATTATAATGATAGGATAGCATAGCATATTTCTAGTCAAGGAATTTAACTAGAATGATGCTAGTTTTTTCCTTTATGACTACATATGCCACATGCAAGTCAACAAATAAACCTTTTTTTGAGACCCAACCATTTTGTGCAGCCTAGCAAGTTCACAGGAACAAATAACATCACCAAAATCCTTTAGGATACAAAAGGAGCCAATCATTTTTCAGCCCAGATCAATATTCAATACAGCCTTTGAATTCACAGATGACCAATAACTGATGGGGCCCTTGATGACAGCCACATCTTGACAGCAAACACTCTGTAAGAACTAGTGACCACACTGAGGTGTTTAGTTCAGGTAAAAAATGGCCGCACTTTGTGTTGAGCGTTATGGTCCATTATTTGTATTAGATGTTATCCTTTTTTGTTTAATAATACTGCAGTTTTACCTGCAATGTTGCACAGTAGTGACAGATGTATTTCTTCAGAATAACAATGAAATGATATACACAAATGGCCTCCTTATTGTCAGGGTGGACAATTGTCAGCCATCTTCTGACAAAGGCCAGGTCACCACACTGACGTCAAAGGATGGCAAAAACATAAAAAAGTGCTGTTACAAAGTCACACTGGAGAATCACAGTGAGATGGAGGAGACCACAATGGTGATCGGACACAGACTCGATCATGGCTGTTCTCAGACAGAAGAACAGGGACGCACCTGTTGTTTAAGTTCTCTAAAACGTTTTGTCATACCTGCAGGTTTTTTCTCCAGACATTAACGGCGGCAAAGGCAAGCTGCATCTGTTTCCTGCGGGCATCTTTGTGCCGCTTGTATGCAATCTCAATAAATATCAGGAAGATTCCAGCAACAATACCACCAGCCACCAGCATGAAGACACCTAAAGGGAAACATATGTGAGTCTTGTGGCTACAAACCCATAATCTGCTATGCAAAGTCTAACGGAATTATAATAAAGAATAAGGGCACCTTTGAGAAAACAATAAATATTAACAGTTATGTTGGTCCTTATACCTGGTCGATCCAAAGTCAACGCCCCTGATCATTCTTTACAAACAGAAGATACTTTATGTAAGCATTTATAATAGAGGTTGTGCAAAGGGCAGGGAAGGAGAGGCAGACAGGAAATGCTTTATACCCATGTGTTACATGAACAGAGACATCTTGTGTATGATTTCTGCCAATAACAAGCTAGCTATGCACATCTCAAGCATTTCTGGGGTGTATTCTGTGACATAACTCTATTTGTAGAGATCTCTGTATCTGTAAATGGCTTTGTCACAAAATACAGGGAGATTTGAACTGGATAGACCCTCAAATACCCTAGTGAAACTCCCAATGGACAGCTGCATTAGACTTGCTTGATTTGGATATAATAAAGATAGCTGTTAGCGTGAAGTCAGGACTCAGTAAATACAGTTCTCATTGCTCATGGCAATTAATTAGACTTCCGCATCTGACTATTAGGTTTTTAGCAAGAAAACCAACCTCTGCGTGCCTCTCTCTGAGTCCTCCCTCAATGGTCACCTCCATATCCAACAAGAGCACCCTTGAGCCACCAAGCTGCTCTCATTAGACAGACACATTGTAACTAGGCAGGGCTTAGCCCTGCAGTCAAACAAGTTGGGCTTCAGTAATAAAAGTAAAAGGAACACCAATGGGGGGCAGAGAGGAGAGTTTTCTAGTTAAAGGATAAGTGCACTTTAAAACATAATTAACTTATCCTTTAAACCCCTTTAAGGTACTTTACCACTCCCTCTCTGCCCATGCACAGATGACTACTTATCAACCAGCCTGGACCCGGATGTTCATTTACATTCTGCTGAAGACGTTTCCTCTTCCTGGCTGTGCCTGTGCAGTAACATCCCCACTGACTTCTATGGGGTTCGTCTGCATCTATCTCTCGGCTGGGAGACAAGCCCCATAGAAGTCAATGGGGATATACTGTGCAGGCTTGGCCAGGAGAAGAAGACACCCATCACAGGATGTAAAGATCAATAGAGGATGGGCCCGTCGGGAAACTTGGTGGGTATTCATCTGTGCCTCGAGAGAGAGAGGGAGTGCTGACGTCACCCTGAAGGGGCCTAAGGGATGAGTGCAGTTAGTTCACATACTCATTAAAGAAGGTAATATTGTAAATAGTGTGGTAGACATACTGCAGTGTCTGCTCCTAGACCAAGCATTCACTTGTAAATGCTAAAACTGTGTGGCAGGCAAAACAACGTTTTGTGGCTCATATTCTAAAATGGAAAGTTATGGAAAATCCAACATTTTACAATTGTCACAGAAACAGAATTAGAGGGGAAATTATCCAATGAGGACATCTAAGAGGAGATTTCACCTCACTTTACATCGGAACGTCTAACCCTATATTCTATTCAAAACTAAGCTTTTGGCTAGAGATATACTTTAACTGTAACTCTGGTGAACAGCTACAACTACAGTGCTCACCTGCCATGTTCTCAAATGTAAGCGTAGCTGGCGCATTGCTGCGAGAATCACATTCCTGATATCTGACCCAAGTTTTATCAAGATCTTCCATGAATCCATTCTCATGAGATCTAGAGAGTAACAAAGAAATAAATTCAGAGCATGTTAGATGACATCACTGGAAAGGCTTCAGGCCTTGTTTTGGGTTCTGCCATTATAGTACCCATCTCTAGAACATACATGAGATGAGATTAACTCTGTGAAAGAAATATGTCAACAAATGAAAGACCTCTATTTACAGTCGAGACTTTATGCTGCAAATTTCCTGAAACAGAAACATCTTTGTAGACTGGAAGAAAAATGGTTTAGGGTTCACACTAATAAATCATACCTCCTGATTATTTAAAGCATATCCAGCTAAAACTTATTTAGATTGAGAAGGGAAGCATTCTAACCTTCTGTCAGCTTCTCGTAACTGTGCCTCTGAAAGGTAGCTCTTCCACACTCTATGGAAAGCCAAAACAAACAATTGAATTGAGTTAAAACCTCATTAACCTAATTAAAATGAGATTTCAATAGACTTTCTTTATACTAACCTCTAATGCACTTATGCAAAATAGGAGAAGGACATCTCGGTTGCTGCAAGAAAAATGATAGTTCAAGACCCTCCACTGCTGGTTCTATCATAAATGAAGCTTGTTGTTCTACCTTCTGAACAGACTCCCATATAGCAACAGTTTGTGTCATTTGATTATTATTTTTAAAAGACAAGGACCCATTATAATCTGAACATTTAAATCTGATTGGTTGATATTGGCTAACACTGACAGGTCTTATTTAATAGACAGCTGTAAAGGGAGAAGCAACTGGGCTGCCATTGCTGAGCTTTCCTTCCAAAAGTGCTGGTTACCTCAACATCATCCTCACCCTCTGGCTTCTACGCATTAGGGTTGATTTACCAAAGAGGTATAGGCTATTCACTTAACACAGTGTATTTTCACATGGCAAGGGAATTTTCACTTAGCGTAGTAAATGAGGGGAAGTCATGTAGTCATATCCAGTCATGTCCAGTTTTTTTTTAGATTTCCTTACACGGGACTGGGTATGCTTTGCAAAGTGAATTTTCACCATATTCGCTAAGCTAAATGAAAATTCCCATGCAAAGTGAAAATTCACTTTGCTATGTGAGCAGCCTAAGCTCCTTTAATAATCAACCCCCTTGTGTCACTGACCGTGGGGATGCATGTGGCTAAACACTGACTTTTTTTTTACTTTCTTAACTGCAAATTTGTTCCATATCAGTGACACCAAAAGCATTAAAAGCAAAGGGTCAGCATAACAGTCACGCAGCAATCATTTTATAGGTCAGCGACAGCAGCTCCCATATATTTTCCATGTCAGGATTATTTTAAGACTCCATCTCTCATTGAGTCCTAATGAACTTTTCAGCTGTAGATGGCTAACATGACTGCCGCAAAAGAGAAATATTTCTCATTGAGAACTGTAAATGCTGTATAGGCATTAAAGAATTAGGTGCTCTAGTAAAACAGAACCAACAGCAAAATATTATACTTCTCTGGTACATCTAGAAAAAAGACGTGCTACCAGTCAGCACCAATGACATTTTCTTAATCATTAATCCACCTTCTATGGAGAGATACAATCATCGCATATCTCCAATCTACCTTTTCCCTGACCTATAGTACTTATTTCACATGACGCAGAATAACAGGAAATACAGATCATGCATTACCTTTGCATTACTTGGAGTTCAAATGTAATTGTTACATAAGGCTATTGTAAATAAATATGTAGCTTCTGAGTAACTTTCCCCCCTCATTACAGATAGTTTTCAGACATTTGGCCCAGACATTTGAAATTTCTAAATGTCTGGGTGTGAAAAGCAAACCTGCTTTGTTAAACAGAGTTTTTTTTGTGTTCTATACCACAGCGCGTGAGATGGCAATGCCTTCTTTCCTTAAAGTGACACTAAACTCAGGAGTTAAATCTTAAAATGCCTTCAAGTACCTTAACTATTAACATAAAATGTATCTTATTTGTGCATCACTCGGCTGCAGTTCCTAAATCATCTCTGAATTCATGCTGACACTGTCCTTCCATCTAGAGGGTGACTATTTTCGTTCTTCATCATCCCTGTGTGTGTTGTAAAGTAGCACCGCTCCAAGCTCACTCCTGTGATGGACTACAATGTCACGATTAGCTTACAAATTTGTATTGAGATTGTAGTCCTTCCCGGGAGTGAGCTTAGGAGTGGTGGCTACTTTACAACACACACAGGGACCACGGGGAAGAAAAGTAGCCACCCTCTAGAAGGAAGGACAGTGTCCTAAATTTAGTGTCACTAAGTATTTGCAATTGTATTTGATCTTTATCATTGTTTAAAAATAGCAACAACAAAAAAATTCGATAAATAGTGGGAATTCTATTACCATACCTATATGATTTTCACATTTTTAAATGCACACACTTTCATAGTTTTGCTGTTGTACTAACTGAGAGATTTGCGGGTTGCCCACTAGAGGGAGCTCTGCATCTCATTCAGTTCTACCTCCCTGCTTAAAGACGAACTCCAGGATTTTGAAAAGTTAACCCTTGCAGTGGGCCTACCTAACCCCAAAGCAAGGGTTAACTGCTCATTTTCCTCTAGGGGTGAAAATAAAGAAGGGCTACTCACTTAATCCTCGGTCCTGTGGCTCAGGAGGGTAGCCCTACTGCAGGGGTTAACTTTTTAAAATTCTGGAATCCCGCTTTAAAGGCAAGCTATGAATAATTACATAAAATAAAGTGGTCCCTTGTTTGTATAGCTGACATCTTCAGTTGTCTTTTTTAACTTTGTACACTGGAAAAAGGATTTGCATAGCTGCAATCAGACCCACCATCATCCATCCTCCGAGCCTTCCCATTAACTAATTGAATTCAGAGGTTAATATGGAGGTAGATTTCCAAAGCATGACCTTAGAAATTGTGGCTCCGATTGCATAATAAACTGCCCTGGATTTGTGGCCTTGAGGTTCCTGCAATACAGAGCAGTGTTCCATTGGTTTTGTACCGCACAGGCACACTGAAACCGGTAAGGTCATATGTGCCCTTTACTAGGCACCCATTTTGGGGGAATGTGACTGTCCTGACTGCCGACAAGAGGCAGAAAACACAATTCCTACATTTGTATATTGTGGTGGTGATGTGGCATGAGAGATTGGGTGATCTTTTTCATAGGCTCCATTGTGACAGTCAAGGGCTGCCAACCTCCTGATATACATGTGCACCTCTGTAAGGAAGATTAATATTCAAACTCTGCAGATCGGTTCTGTAGGTTCTAATGATTCTAAATGGCCTACAGACACTGGGGGATTGAGCAGTCTTTCAGTGATATCGTAAACTTCCAGTAAAACTGATTGGCTCAATCATGTATTAGGCCGCACAATGGCTGTCTGACAGATGTTTACAGCATGGCTCCACTTTAAATGTAGAAAAAAAAACAGCAACATACTTGAGAATGTTCAGTGACACGTTTTGTTTCCACGGACTATCCTTCCTCATACCAATCCCAAAACCAGAGCGGAAGAATAATTCTCCAGTAGTGACCAAGTCACACTTCTGGGAGGCCTCGAATTCCAGCACTGCCGAGTCCCAGATGAAGGCATGGAGTTTACTAAGACACAAAGAAAAGAGATCAATAACTTTCCAATTAACTTGCTGAAACAATAAGACCACTGCAATCATCACAAAGACTAACACTCAAATTCATCTTTCCAGAACAAATCTCCCATTTATTCCTGTTGTGGTGACAATTGTAAAATTTTGGTCTTGGTGACAATGATCATAGAACAAACAGAGTGGGAAAAGACCTGTGCATGATCATAGAAGTCTTACATTTTGTGAATGTTTTTCTTTTTAGTTATGCCATAAAATACACCACCATGAACAATGGCTTTGTTCAGTATATTTTGTTTTTACTGAGATTTGCTCTCGTTGTGCACGTAGTGACACACATTCCAGTCACCTCAGTTATTGCACTTTAGTAACCCTGGACAGCAATGCAGTTTGGTGACATACCAGAGCAGGAGATGGATTGTTAGCCATGTTGTTTTTTACTGGGAAACCGCATGTGTTGCGGGAGAGAACTGGGGCAAAGGTTAAGGCTGACATAATCCATAGAAGCTAACTAGGTGAAAAGGGGTCATACAAACCTTCAAAGGGTTAAAAAGACCAGTCCACCCTAAGCTGTGTTTATTTTATAGTAAATGCAGGAGAATTAACAATGGGATCTTATATCTCTCAGGGACTCTACTGGTGAGGTCTCAATGCTGCAATCTCAACTCTGCACACCTGCTGTGACCATTATGAACAGTTCCCACCATTCCTACTGGATTTTTATAGATTTTTTTTATTGCGGAGAATGTAACAGGAGGAGCTAGAACATGCAAAGGTGGTCGGGAACACTCAAAACGCAGGAGAGAGTAAAAAATTATAGCAGGGAGATCTCCCTATCTAGTATTCAATATATACAGTATAACAAGCCAGGGATTGACTCAGCCCAGTAGGCTCCCACTTTAACTGAAGATCACGTTTACAGTGACTAACCCCATAAAAAAAGTATTATTTGCAGTTATTTGGATCAAAAATTGTAACCCCCCGCTGCAATTTTAGAAACACACATAACTGGACCCCTGCTATTACCTCCAATGCCTGTATTTTATTAAATCCACATCCCCTTTGATAAATTCAATCCTTTGGGTTCCCAGAACTGTAAATCCCCAGGAAAGATGTATTTAAATAATGACAGCAATTAGTTGCTTTAGAGCACTGAATCTGCACCTTGCACTTCCCATAAGCGTCCATTGAGTGTAGACCAGACATGTCAAACTAGAATGAAAGACTGGGTTTAACTAAGTGAAGTTAATCCTTAAAGGGCCACATTATGTCAAACGAGGGTCATACCTATTTAATTCTAGAACAAAATTATATCACGTTAGTAGTTAAACCTGATAGCATCAATTGCAATTTAAAACATTTAAAGGGTTATTCACAAAAGGGTGAAGAGTTTGGAGAAGGCAGGAGAAGTAAACAATCTAGGACAACATAGCTGATTTGGAAAAATTCTCCAATTCAGCTCACTTTCCAGTTCAGCTATGTTGTCCTAGATTGTTCACTTCTCCTGCCCTCTCTAAACTTACATAGTATTTGAGGTTGAATAAAGACACAGGTTCATCAAGTTCAACCTATTGCGTTTATGTATGTGATTCTGCATGTGTATGCGTGTGAATGAGTCCCTGTGATCTTGTTTTTAAGGGTACCTGTACCCCTGTATGTTACGATCTCTGAGGAAATTGTCCAAATGCTTTTTGAATGATTCAACACTCTCAGCTAATACCACTGCTTGTGGCAGCGAGATCCAGACCCTAACCGCTCTAACTGAGAAGAAGCCCCTACGCCCCTTGTGGTTAAATCTTTTCTCCTCCAATTTTCGGTGGGGGCCTCTAGTCCTTGTTATGGAGTTTACAGTAAAAAGTTTATTGTTGATATTGCTATTGCCATTGAACATCTTGTACATCAAAATCATGTCCCCCATTAATCTCCTCACTTCCAGCGTGAACATGTTTAAATCTAGTAACCTCATAGCTTTGGCTCTCCATCCCCTAATTAGTTTAGTTGTCCTTCTCTGGACCCTTTCCAGCTCAAGGACATCCTTTCTGTGAATCGGCGACCAAAACTGGACCGCATACTCAAGAAGAGGCAGAACCCTTTAGTGAATAACCCTGTTTTTCGTTGCAAAAGGGACCTTAAAGTGATTCTGTTATTAAAAGCGATCTTCATAATAATGTGTCAAGCCTTGGCGCGGCTGTGCGGCTTTCACATTTTCTGCAGAAGACGTGTATCCATACCTCTGTTATTAACCTTAGTGGTGAGACAAGTTTTTTGACATGCTGGTTTGTGAGTGTGCCATGATACCTTTCTACTGCTTCATAATAATGTGCCCCTGCAAAGAAGACAATGAATATTTACCTCTCCTGCAGCTCATACCACTGATCTATGCAATAATGAGGGGAAAGCGCCAACTGAAGATCCTGCAAATTAAAATGTCTATTTCCTTGCTCCCCACTTAGCACTGTGGTTCCTCATACAACAATACAGGTAGTGACGTGGAGGTCATAGATAGAACAACTGAGCACAAGTCATCCAACACACCCAGAAGTATCGGATTCAGAAGGTTTTTCAGACTGCTTAGCTCTTAAAAGAGAGGGAAGATCTGCACCACAGATGGTGGGACAGGTAAGTATTAATGTTTTTCTTAACAGGTTGGCCTTAATTTACAAAAAATCCCTAATGACAGTCAATTTAAAACATTTCCTGAAGAAATGAGATGCAAAATGATATATGAAAGTATATCATTTATCAACTGGAGAACAGCTGGAGAGTGTTCATCTTATATTCTAACTCCACCAAAGACCACAAAGAAGGAGGTAATGGGCCACAAATGTCACAGAAAAAAAAAACATTTGGACAAAAAAAAAACATTTGGACATGCCTGGTGTAGACAGTAAATTACATACTTGTCTCGAACTGCCTGAATGGCCTCAGCGGCGCTCTCATAGTTGTGTTTTTCCATATGCCGGTACATGGTGCTCAGTTCCACCTGCCTCCTGAAGTAAATGTCCACGGAGCTCTGCTTGACAGTGGCATAAATAAACTTGTCGCTGGGATTTCGCAGCTGTGGACACAAGAAACAACTAGTAAGTAGAAGTATAAAAATACAGTGAGGCTGTGCTTTAAAGTAGCACAAAAGCATTACCTACCCTCAAGAGAAACGAAACCAAGATTTACAAGTTAGAGGCCTAGCAGATCTCTTGTGACAATACTGAGCACCGGACGTCCATCTCCTACCATGAACCAATATTTCCTTTCTGCCTCATGCTAGTATTTACTGTATGCTATCTCGTGGCTATGTGTAACCGTTTTACAACCCAGTTACTCCCATGTGTGAAATATTTATTGCCCTCTGCACCCTGCAGAAAACGCCATCCCAGAGACAAATTCCTCTCCAAATACTGCGGCAGACAGAACACTTTTGTCTGTGTCCTTATACTGTTTACGGCAGTGATAACACTCATTACTGGTTAGCCCTGCCATGTGTTTAAAATATATACGGCTACCCACATATCAATTCTGAATCTTTGTTTTATATTATATTCGATCTGGTTTCCCAGTTGTATTTCTCAACATGTTCTGATACCCAGCGTCTGCTCTTGTGTTCCAAATTGCAAGTAGAATCACAATTTACAAAAATGTTCCCTGAAATGCCAATTGAATCAATTTTTTTCCTCAGGCCCAAAAGAAATTAAAGTAAACATGTCACTTCAAAGCTATCTATTTAGATAAGGTAGTGTTCATTGAATGTTTGGCAAATTTCCCAGTCATACAGAGTTCCCTTTGAACAATGGCTCAGTATATATTACAGAGAAAGTAGCATGTTCACAAAAGGCACCTGTGCAGCCTATTTTTAAACAATTCGCAAAGGCATTCACCCTATGCATCTTTGTGGACGTTTGTTCTGTGCGAATAGATGAAAAAATTAACATTTGTATTATATTTTTAGATTGGCCACTCATTCAGCCCTCCTGCTTAACTGAGAAGTACAGAACAACAAGGAGAAGTACAGGACAACAATTGCTCATATTCATTACATACTTCTGAGCCTGGGTATGTAATGTATTGAGCAATTCTGTCTGCCCCCACATACCTATATGGTTAAGACTATACATTAAAAAAATTGATTTTTAAACATTATTTCAGAGAATACCATACAGAGCAAGCCCTGGGCAGGCCACTGCAGTGCAATGTTTCCCTTTGACATCTGTAGTCAGTATTATCACTAGAAAAGTGGATCTGGGGGCACAAAATGTAGTTTATCAAAATGTTGAAGCTCAATGTTTGCCATAAGAAACAACAGGTATCACAAATTCTGTGCGGCTTGGAAATGTTGGTTGTTGCACCCTCGATGTAAAATTTGATCATATGGTGGTCCTGATATTATGGATGGTCTTACTTGTATTCAAAAGTTTCACACCTTTTCTATGTTTCCTTCCTCTATCTAATCTCTGTAGCCTTCTTTATTTTCTAACTAACCTTAAATATGTTTCACTCTTACGCATTATTCACTTGGTCATATCCGACTTGCTTGATGTCTTTTGAATCCACAGATTACATTCCTGGACCATAGTTATGTTACCACATTATCTACTACCCTATTGGGTCTCTGCCCCTTCCCACAGTTTGGACCCCAGGTCTCCACTGCGGGAAAGATGAGTTTACTTTATATATTATTGTGACTCCAGGATGTGTATGTTCTTATTATATGGCCAGGACTTGAAAAATGTTAGGGTGTCTCACCAGTCAGTCAAAAATGTCACCAGTCAGCATGACCGGACTATCGGCCTTGCAATTTACGTTAACATTTTTTGGGGACAGATAGAGCTTTCGTTTGGAGGTATATAATCACCTCAGGGCTATTTTTTTTTACCATATAATGAAAAAAGTAAAAGAAAAAAAAATTTCCCTACACTATGTTATAAAACATTTATTATTACCCATATTTTTGCCAAAACATAAAAGTCGGGGTCACGTCGGGTAAATAGACACCAAACATGTCAAAACTTAAAATTGCGTGCGCCCGCAAAATCGCAAAAAACGCCCATAGGCGACGCTTAAAACGTTTTTACTGCTCATCAGTTTAGTGTTATTGGTGATTGATGGCCCTAAAATCATTGCTCTCACTCCGACGTTTGCGGCGATATGTAACATGTGCGGCACAATAGGCGCAATCGGCGTTTTCGCACGTAGGCACACCCGACGCATATCTGAGTGTGTATGTGGTGGGCGGGGACTTAAAAAAAATTGTTTTCTTTTTAAAAATGTTTATGCTTTATTTTTTTATGATTCTTTAGTTTTTTGTATTACTTTTTTTTTTTGACACAACTTTATTGCTATTACATCGGGGGCTAAGAAGCCCCCTATATAGCCAATTTACATGACAGGTCCTCTTTATGGAGACATCAGGGGTCTCCAAGACCCCCTAATGTCACCTAGGGACCCCCAGAGAAGCTGATGAAGCAGAGATCTGCTTCATCAGCTTCTGTAGCTGGAGAGTGCCACTGAATGCAGGAAGTGATGTAACATACATAACTTCCTGCATTCAGGGACTGAGAGGAGATCATAGGGAGTTCGTATACTGAACTCCCTTTGATCTCCTGTCACAGAGCTGTGCCGGTCCCGGCCGCATCGGGCACAGCGGATCTCGGGACCGGCAAAGGCAGTGACAGATGCTGATACAAGCGATCCAGCGTCTCTAGAGACGCTGGATCGCTTGAATGTAAAGCTGCCGGCCGGCCGGGTAATTACAACGGCGGGCCGGGAAGCTACTCGTCGGGCTCCACCGTCCTCTCGTCACAGACGAGTGGACGAGTGGATTGTTCAAGCCCTGTATATGCCTAATATATGAACTAATGTTTTTGCATTGTAACTTGTATTACTCAATAAAAAACATATTGAAACAGAAAATGTTGAAGCTCTCATGTTGCTTGCTCTGTGTCAGATTTCATTTTACTTTTTAATATTTACAGTAGTAAATCTCTTGATATTTTTAAATGTGCAAAGCAAACCTACGCTATACCTCCCAAATTTTTTAGATGGGAAAAGGGGAAACCTTTTAGCACAAAGAGATAGAGCTCTAAAATGGAAAGCGGGACAGAGGGCTTTGGTTCTAAAAGAGGGTCAATTCCTTTAAATGAGGGATAGTTTGGATATATTTTAAAAAATGAGGTTTAATTGCTAACATTACACAAAAACTAGACGTTTCATGTTGAAAAAAAATCTGCAGTGTAAAATACACACCAGCTTCTTTTATCTTTCAAGCCCTCTACTCCTCGCTTTCTGCACCCCAGTAGCCACCATTACAATGGGTCTACCATTAAAAAGGAATTTTACATTCTATAGATTTCAGCAGGAGTGAAATTCTATATTGGGGAAGCCAGTCAAGAGCTCCATTGGTAAAATGTAATCACTAGAGTACCTGAAAGATATAAGGATCCAGTGGATTATTTAGTATATCATTGTTCATTTACCACTGGAATGTTATTTTTTGTCATCCTTTAAGAATAAGACAATTCACCGGTCTTCATACTAACCCGAGGGTCATTGATTCCTGTTATCCTCTCCTCAGGCCTGTCCAACACCAGGAAGGCAGCCAGGTTGGCAGTGTAAGAAGCTACGATGATCATAGCAAATCCAGCCCAAACCATGCCTAAGATGCGAGCAGAAAAACTCCTCGGTGCTCCTGTAAAAGTAGAAGCAGTAAAACTATAAGGCCATGTACTACACATTTAGGAGAAAAAAGCTAACACACAGCAACCAATTACAAATCCCCTTTTTTGGCAAACAATACTGAACTGTTGTCAAACATATTTCTGATTGGGTGTGATCATTAGTGCACATAAATATACTACATACTTTTTTGTGATGAAGTTACAATCTGTGCTAAAATTCTTTTTTTCCCGATTGGAGCTTACACAGTTCTGAGGACCCCCACATCCTGCCTGCATGTAACATTGACTCATCATCAGTCTTAGAACAAGATCTATTATCTTGCATGTAACAGCAATCAGGCTGATGACTGACCACTCAGACACCCCGTGCTGCATTATGGGAGAAAGCAGATTGTTATACCTGTGCATCCATACTTTGAAGTACCAGTTGCTCTGGGTGACTGGCGGGGGAGCAAAGTAAACTTTAATTTTTACAGGGGAGAGGTGGACAGCGGGCATTTAAGTGAACCTGTTGCTTTGCCCGGCATGGGGCACCTTAAAACACCTCCCCTAAATTCTGACCTTAACACTAACCTAACATAAAGCCTTAACCATGCCTTAACAGAAGCCATTAGTGCTCTATGCTTGCCTCGTTCTGCATTGCAGTGAATCCTCATCCTTGTGCTGATAGCTTGACACTTAACTGGCAACACCAAGAAGTAATTATCTGTCTTCCCAACACTTACAACTTCATTAAAAGTATCATCAATTACAATAATCCTCTACATGTCTACGTTTGGGTGTTAACTAAGTTTCAGTACTGACTTTCAGTCCTTTTAAGTGTTATTCGTTTTGTAAAAGTAGGGCACTGAGGATTAAGAGCCTATATAGACTTTGCCAGCATTAATTAGAGCACTGATGTGTTTATTATTAATTCTGTGGTTTGCCATGTACCTTGGAAAATAAGTAATCGCCTTGGGGGAAATTACTGTTTATTATACTGTTGTAGATAATGATATTAAGGAAATTAAGGTAACAATCTAAAAAAATAGATGCTTAGCATCAAGAAAATCAAATTTCATTGCTGCAGAGGCTATACAAATGTTCTCAGAGACCTGAGTCGGTTATGATTTTTCAGTTTTGTTCCTTAAAGCAACAATGTTGCAAAAAAACACCCTTGTAGTAGAAGGGTACTAAAATGTACCTGCCCTGCCATCTGTGCCTCAAATTTTCACTCCCCTGCAAAGCTTTGGCCACTAGCAGATTATTCACCATTCAATACTCGAGGGTGTGATGGATGCTTGCATGCTTAGTCATGTGCTGTGATTCCAAGGAGTGGGCACAGGCACCCAATGCACCTGCGAGTGTTGGATGATGGGGATATTAATATCGGTCACAGGTCTACAAGGACATGAAGATCCAAGACATGGGTAGCAGCAGGACAGGTTTGTACTGCATTAGTGCTTTTTTTTCAGGGTGCTTTTTGTTAATATTTGTTTTGGTGACAGGGTGGTTATAAAGGAAATATTTATACAAAACAGATGTTTTTAATTCTCCATGGTCACTGGCACATTGAATAACATGCTGGCTTCTATCTTTTGGGTCTCCAGTGAGAAGATATCCCCACCAGAATTGCCAGGTCTGCTTAAGTGCTTTCCATTACAAAGCACAACTCTGGTTTCATCGTCTTCTAATGGAACTCCTACAATGCAGAACAAGATAATGGGAAATATAGCTGTGACAGACCATGGAAAACCTTTTTTTAAAGGAAGCAGCAAGCCTAGAGTTTCAGGACTCTATAGAGTGGGACTATAATACGTTAGGGTTTGCAGGTAAAACCAAATTGTAATAGCACTGGTCTCCTTTTTTAACTCAAAGAAACTAGAAGGCTAATCTCTAACTCTATGAGTAGCGGAATGTATGCCTTAATTTCACTAGGCACTTTGCTGACCAATAGAAGTAATGGGCACTGGGCCTACAGCAACAGAGGTCAGCTTATTGGACACAATAATCATAAGTGTGGACAAAGTTCTGCAGCTGGTTGTCTTTTTCAATTTAAGTCCTGTCAGTATAGACACTGGACCCAGGAGCCAAAGCCCCAGTGTGGTCACATGAAATATATCACAACCATGGAGTCACAAAGTAGTCACAGCATGAGAAGGCCACACACTTTTCCTCATCCTTATGCACCAAGTTCACTAGAAAAATGTATTATTTGGTCTTCTAATCAGGTAGAAGTATTCTAGATTTGCCCCATATGTTTGCCATGGCACAGCAATATTTTGCAGCTGCCTCGCAGTGCCTTAAAGGATAGCTCTTCAACAACAGCCCTTGGTGTGTGGCATTTCATAGTTGGGTTTCAGAGTGGGTCCTGTCTAGTTAAAAAATTATATTTTCTTACATGATTTGCAGAAACTAGGTCTGCTCTGTACAGTAAACACATGCCATACCTTCTCCAATACCAGAGTTCAGAAGGACACCCCAGGAGAACCACATGGCAGAAGAGAGCGTCAGTGCATCCTCCTCTTCCTCTTCTGTGTTCACTTTAAACCGCCCAAAAGGACTGCAAATACATATTATATATAATAAAGCACAGCACAAAATCCTATTCATAGTAGCTTGATTGTGGATTATTGTACCTTATTGGAGCTAATATATTAAAGAGGAGGAATGTTTCACATTGCCCAAAGCAACTAATCAGATATCTGTGTGCTGTACAGGAACATCAAAGAACAAAGATAACTGGTTGCAGTCAGCAAGAAGATCTATTCTATACCTTCAGACACTTATTTGTGTTAGTTCCAGTCATCTTTTCTGCAATAGCCAAGATATTACACAATGCTGAATGTGTTCTTGTTACACGCATATTACATAAATTAACAATAAATCTGTAGATAATGGACAGCGTGCACAGACTGGAATACTCTGGTGCAGCTGGGGATGATCTACAGTTCTGCATCTCTTAAAATACCAGCATGTACTGCAAAATTGATTAGAAGTTACCTTTGCCAAGATTGTGGCCCCTTGAAGCTTACATGAAGTTAAAGTGACTTTCTCTGACCCCCATTTGACAGTGTTGGGTGCCTGAACAGCCAGACAGCAAGAACTGCCACTGTTAATGAGAGGAAAAGGAGTGCCACATGTTCCCATAGGTAAATTTGCTTCCATGCGTGAATGGAGCAGTGAGGAGCGAAGGGAAAGTAAATGTAAACTAGTTGCAGGGGCTGCTATTACAATACACCTTACACACTGCACACTCAGAAGATGGGAGATAACATGTGAGGTCAGCAACTGTCAGTTGACCTCTGACCCTCTGTTTGCCCCAGCCAAGGCAGTCATTCCTATGGAGACAGGAGATATAAACAGTGAAGAGAGACCTCTAACATTGTCTTATGTCAGTGGAATAATAGCGACTATAGCAGCTTTATATATAATTCGTTTTTGCTTCTAATTTTAGCTCCTTAAAAGGCTGTGTCTTCCTGTCCCTTGCCTTCGTGCTAGTTTTTGTCTGTAATTGACAACCCTTAATGTATTGAGCTTTATAAAGGTTAATAAGAAAGGATAATTTGGAACAAAATTGGAATCAAGAAACTTTAAATTACAGCTCGTTACAAAACTATTTATAACAAATACAAAAACGATAATTTATTGGTACAAAAAAGACAAATACATGTATTAAAATAGATGAAACCGACAGGTGCATTTTGGGTACATATTGCATATATATAACCACTCAAACTTGTACTTTACATATTGGTACACTGTATTATTCCATTACAAAAAAGGCAATCAATATGTTTCATAGATTTAATCCACATCTTCAAGACCAGCTCTTTGCTAAAAAAAATTAGGTTTTAGCTCCAGTCAACAAATAACATCCTGCAGAGAGGATAAGACAGCACGACTGGGAGACTGAATCTTCAAAAAGGAGATAATGGCACAGGTAACAACCCCAAAAATATATCTCCACACTCACAAGTGCCAAAGCTCCCCCACCATACAAGAAACTGGAGTTCTGCCCCTCCAACTGCAGCCATCCAAGGAGAGTGAACCATGCCGCCTTCCCCTACTGAGAGTGGGGCATTCTCTTCTTGGATGGTTGCAGTTGAAGATGCAGACCTCCAGCTGCTTGTATGGTGGGGGAGCTTTGCACTGGTGAGTATGAGGATATTTTATTTTTATGGGGGGAGGGGTTTAGCTGTGCCATTATTTCCTTTTTGGAGATTCGTTCCCCTAGTTATGCTATCTTATCCTCTCTGCAGGATGTTACTTATTGACTAGAGCGAAACCTTGACCTTTATCATGTAAGAGCGGTTTATCCAGTATTTACTGATATTACTCCTAAAATCAGTATTTGTTATCACGTAATAAATACAATAAATACATTTATGATATGTGGGCTATTTTCTTCTCTTTGGGAAGTAAACTATTAGTTTTATTTTTTGTAATTACATATGTTATTATTTTATAAAGGATAAGCATTTGTTGTATTATTTAGGGTTTTATTCTGATAGTTCATATGGGTTAGTTTAGGGGATTTCATTTAAAAAAAGGCAAAACCCAATGTACTATGGCCAATGCTGACTTAGTGTATTTATTATTATTACTTTTGCTGTTTATGTGCATCTATTATGTATATCGAGCTTATAAACTGACCTGAATCTGTCCAGAAGATACAACATTACCGCCACCACATGGACAGAGAGACCCACCAGGAGCCACAGGGTGCTCTGGAAAGGCTGCATGAATGAGTCCAAGGTACTTCTGGGTATTTCCTGTCAGAGAGGAGAGAAAAGAACAGACAATACAGGAACTCTATACTGTATATACCACTACTATGCCACAGATTAAAGTGCACGTGGCACTGACAGAGCTGCATTTTGAGAAAGACTGGACAATCTTGATACACAAATAGAAGACAAGATATTTTGGCAACTGTTATAAGTGTATGTCAGTTTTTCCTAGTTTTGGATAGGCTGGGAAATGATTAGAACCCCTGTGGGATTTTAGTGCTATCCTGTGCTATGTTGTTAATAAATACCTTCACCTTTTGTCCTGCTGACAACAGTTTCACCATACAGGAAGTGAGGAAAAATCTGCCATAGGGACAGAAGCAAAAATGTGAAAAAGTTTTAACCTTCCCCTACTCTATATCTGTAGAAAATAAATCAAGGCAAATGGACTTGCTGTATTTTTGAAGATGTTTCGCTGGTCATCCGGCTAGCTTTCTCACTTCAGAGAAAAGCTGGTTGGATGACCAGCGAAATGTCTTCAAAAAAATGCAGCAAGTCCAGTTGCCTTAGTTCATTTTTTACAGATATACCATGACCTGGATGAATGAGAACCGTCACATGCATATTCCCCTACCCTACTAAAGAAAAACAATTTTATTTCTGCCTGTGTTCCTGTTGGAGGGTTTCTCTTACTTCCTGTCTTGTAAAATGCTGTCAAGAAAACAGGAAGTGAGGGTACATTTTTGTTATAGAGCCTAGGATAACTTAAAAACAGGACAAGGTTTCCTACCTTCCCCCACTCTACAGAAAACTAAGAAAAAAGGTTTTGGTTGGACATACATTTTAAACTCTATGGTCTTCAGAAGCTGACTTGTACTTGATAATGGTTAAATTGAGCCTTAGCCAAAGTTTTTTTATGATTTGGAAAGAGAGGGGGAGAGATTTCTACTGCTTTCTTTGATGTGGCTGAAGAGATTTCACTTTCTGTGTAGTCACCACGAATGAATACGAGGGAAATCCTTCAGATAAGAACACAGGCAACCAAGAAATGCATTTTTAGTACAGAAAAATTACAATCTCTTCCAGAATGTTATTGTCCTCTGTATTCCTCTTTCAAAGTTTTTGCTTTACTTGCTGTGTAGTAATTGACCAGGATGATAGCATGTATCTCCGATAGACAGCAATCAAAGCCTAACAGAGGTTCTAAGCCTTCCTTTCTAACCATGGTTTTAACTGGCCTCCCACTTTAATCCATTAGTTAAGAACACAGTATGCCCCGGGTCATGGATGAATCCTTTCCAGTATGCATAACACACAAACCTTTTTCACAAGGATGGTGAGCCCCTGATATTTGAATGGCTTGGAAAATTCAATATACTGAGCTCTTTCGTTGTTGATGGTCAGAGGTGCGACGATCATGTCCGCTTGTCCACTCAGTAACTCGCCCATCATTCCATTCCATTCTTTCTTATTGCTGTTATTAACCTGCAATTTCAGGATGGGAAATGTTCAGGGTGGCTCGGTCCTTCTGTATCCTACACTATTATCGGATTAAGATAAGATGGTTAAATGAGCAAATGAGATGGTTATTCTGCGCTGCTAACATCTGTGGAACCTGCTGCAAAGAGACACAGAAAGTTTATAAAGTATTATCCCAGATTAAAGCACCAGCAGCCATCTGACAAGTGGATAGAAGGCTTGCATGGATCAGTTATGTAAAGACAAGCAGAGTATATTCTCAGTGAGCCCTTTTTGCAAAATGTACCTGACAATATATATTTTTTTTTTACAACAATCTCAGATTTTTGTTTGCTGTGCCATATTTTTAACATTGTATTTCATATACAGATTTATACAAGAAACCTATGGATCTGTATGAGGACGTGCAATTAACATTTGCTGAATGAATGCTATTAAACAGCACGTTCTCTAAGTGAGTATTTCCACTATCACATCTTAAAGCTGAACTTCAGGCAAACAACTAAATACATCTATATGAACTGCTTTACCTGCCAAAGGAATTGTTATTATGCAGCAGAAGCAGAGATTGGTCTAAATCACATGTGTCAAACTCAAGGCCCAGGGGCTGAATCCGGCCCACCAGGCCATTTCCTAGACTTCTACTTTCAGATCTAGGTATTAAGTTATTACTAAAACCAGTGATAATCGAATGCAGAAGCAATTATGATAAAGATTAGATACATTTATATAGTCTTACAGATACCTTTGAGGGCAACCATAATGTTGATGCAGACCACGATTAAATTGAGTTTGACACCCCTGGTCTAAATCATGCCCCCAGCCAGCTGACTGGACAATGAAGCTTATCCCTCTGCTCACTCTGCTCACTCCTCCCTTTATCATGTGTGTACTATGACATAGCCTATCTGGCTCCCTGTGCTGTCAATCCCTCTCTCAGGCTGAGAGCTGATGTATAGCGGATCCCACAAAACTGATATCAAGACAGATTCTGCTACCTATGTTTCTATCATTTAAAAATAAGTACATTTTTGTAATGAATACATAACTACATCATTAAAAAAAACTTTTTTTTAAATGTGACCATACAAAATAGACACGATGCTATTCCCCAGAGCTATAAGCAAGCACATTCTCTGGAGCAATGTCAGATTTGCCGCTGAGATTTAGCAACAACTACCCACTATTAGAGGAGGATATATACAATCACTTACTCGCTCCTGTGTACCAAACTTTCCATCAGCTACCAGGTGGAATTCATAGTTGAAACTCATCTCTTTGGCCAGTTTCAGCAGCAGGTCAATGCAGAAGCCGTAACAGCACTGGGGAGTGGTGGGACGACCTGGTGAGACACAGGGAGATGGAGAATAGGCACCGTTGCAAATGAAGTGATGAAGGTGAGAGATTGCTGCTATGAGATTAGGGACAAGATAATTGCCCCATCTGAATTAGGAAGACCGGTAGTTTATACAGACCTCAAAAGAGGAGCAATGCATGCATTAAGAAGGACCTTTCCCATCTGGAATATCCTTCAATTATATTTAATGCAAGGCATGAAAATGAATACTTTGTTGCCTCAAATGCCTCATTCCCTAGAATCCAATGGCTGACTCCTGACTGAGATCATGGTTTATGACTTCCAGACCCCATGATAAATGGCTCTGTCTTCAGCCAGTGTAGTGTAAGTATTAAAGTATGAATAAACCCTCCAAAAAAAAGCAACCTTCTTTGTAGTTCTTTTGTTGCTTTAAATTTGCCATTCTGTCTTTTAAAGGAGAACTCCAGGAATGCTTTTTATTAACCCTTGCAGTGGAGCTACCCCTGCACTGCAAGGGTTAAGTGCTCATTTGTGTCTAGGTGCTAAAATAACATAGATATACTCACCCAAAGCTCCAAGCCGGCCAGCTGTCACAGCGCTCCCTCCAGCTTGTCTCCCCCTCCCTGCAGCATTGTAATTTTCCTCAGCATCCTCACATCTATACACTGTGAAGGGAATTTATCAAAACTGGAGCAGACAAAAAGTGGAGCCGCTGTGCATGGCAACCAATCAGCTTCTCTCTTTCATTTTTAAATCTTAACCTAGCAAACTGAAGAGAAAAGCTGATTGGTTGCCACAGGCAACTGCTCCAGTTTTGATAAGTTCCCCTCTGTGTGTATAGATGTTGATGATTTACAAGACCTTAGGAGGGGAAGAGATGTTGGAAGGACCGGTCTAAGAAGAAGCTGGCTCGGAGCTTCGTGTGAGTCTAACTTTGTTCTTTTTTTAACCTAGACATAAATGAGCAGGTAACCCTTGCAAAAACAATTTCCTGCAGTCCTTCTTTAAAGGAGAACTATGAGATGAGTGATGTCCACTCACCTCATAGTTCTAGCCAACCTGTGACAATGAGATTGTCACAGGTCGGCTCAGTAGATCAGGAGGTGAGCGAACACATACCGAGTTCGCTCCCCTCTCGATCCTGTCACAGCTCTCTGCCGTGACAGGGGGAGGGGCTGGATTCCCCTCTCCCCGCTCCGATCTGCCAGCGCTGACTGGCGGAACGGACGGGGGAGGGGGCGGGTACAGCTGGCTCTGCCTCTAGATAGGCAGAGCCAGCTGTCACTCACGCAGCTGGGCGGATCTCGACGTCGATGTCGGGATCCGCTCCGGCTGTAGCTCGCGGTATACTGAGCTTAGGGTAACGGGAGGACGCTAGTTTGTGTCCTCCCGTTACCCTAAGGAGAACTATGGGGAAAAACACTGACCCCATAGTTCTCCTTTAAAATCTGTTTGCCTGCCGAGCTGGAGCATTGTTTATGGGAATGTGTTTACATCTCGAAGTTCTGGGGCAACGTTATTATTTACTTGAACAGGGCACAAGAAGTGCACATCCAAAAAGATCCATGGATTTGTCTGTGTGGGGTCTGGTCTTCTTCTGATGGTTCTTCTAAAGCAAGGACAATTTGGATCCATAAATACTTATTACTAGCCTGGTGGGAAATTATACATCACCATATTCAGGTGTTGAAGAGTTCACATCTCCCTACGCTTGAATATTTGTCACCAAGAAACTTGTAAGAAGTCTGAGGTGCCCTCCCTAGGGGATGGAATTGGTGTGGTAATGTGAAGTTTGCAGCTAGAGTTTTCTTTTCTCTTTCAGTCAATTTTGTTTATCAAGCTAGGTGTGGTTGTCTGAGTTGTGGGGCTCTCCCTATTCTTCCCCTTTTTATAACTTTACATGATATGTTAATAGACTTTGCACTTTGTATAATTCATACTGCATATACCATTCTGTCTTTTACGTGTGGAACCTCACATGTCTCTGTATCACTTATGTTCTTTGTTGGATTTTTGATTTTCTTGTTATATGTAAATGCAATTAAAAAAATGAAAATATAATAAAATATGTAGAGAAATCTGTTTGCCCTGCACAGCTCAGCAGCTCTCTCATCCCACTTCCTCTTTATGCACATTTCTTTCAATGGCTTCTGCAGCCAAACACAGATGAAGTGGGTGATTGGCTAGTGCAGTGTTACATGGAAAGGCACACAGACAGAAACAGGTTGGAGGTGCAGGCACGAGATCCCTCTGCACGTCAGCCTGTCAACCACAGCAGGAGCCTTTTACAGTGACAATGCAGATAATGCATAAAGAGATGCTCATGGGATCTTGGGATAGGAAGCTTTAACACAAGCCACCCCTGACCTCTTTAGATATATGTAATGTGAAGTATTTTATTCTCATGGATCTTTTAAGATCACCAATGGACTCTAAAGTCATGTAAGGTTATAGAATAAAAAATAATACAACATTGTAGAGAAGAAGGAATCAAGGAATCAACTGCATTTAATGAAGGGTAAGCCACCATTTTGGAGGGTTATCAGGCAGGGGAGGAGAGAGTGAATAATCAGAAGCTTAAAGCAAATCTGTGCTCCAGCATATGCATTCTGAGTTATTTACATATTCTGAGGCGACAGTGAAAGCACTTTACAACAAGCCCTCATTCGCCTCTGTAGCTTCAAGCATTGTGGAGAAAGTCACCATCAAAGTTCACAGAAATCGTTGCTCTTTTGTGTGGAGAGCAGAATTTTGGCAGCTTGGCACCCCTCTAATGTTATCGCACAGCAGGTGTGACTAAGGTACCATTCACACTTGGAGCAGTGTTTTTGCTATAGTCCTGTGACCTGGCTCTCAGTTGAATCAGCCCGACTAGTTTTATGGAAAGAGATCACTGTGACCAGTTAGACAAATCCTAACAAAAACTGGTGCACTTTATTCTCTTGGCGGCCAAGTAAACCATTGGCCACTCCTGGAAAAAAAACATGGAATGTAAACACTTATTTCTGTGTGTTTGTACTTTTTTTTAAACATTTTTTAACCTGGCTCCATTCTGACCTACGCGAGAATGTTAGGGCCACGAAAGCAAAATAAGGAAAGTAGCCACATGGGATCGTCACCCCTGTCACCCATATGTTTTTAAAACTAATTATATTCAAATAGAGGTCTGTGGTGACTGTCATGTACATGTCTCTCTGGGACTGCTTTGCTGGTTCTTTCTGCTTTGTCTTTCAGGTTACAAGTTGCTAGGAAGATTTACCTCAGATGCTGGACAGACCATTAGTCAGCTGAGCACTGGATTGGTGACAGACTTTTGGCGGAAAAACAGCTGACCAATAAGTGTAACCTTTCCTCTCTATAGTCACTCCTGTCACTGGGCAGTGTCAGCAGTAGACATCTGCGATTCGTTTTGTTCCGAATCCAAATCCGTACAAATTTTCCAAAATTCAGACACATCCAAATTTCCAATTCCCAATGCATCCGAATGTGTCCAAATCCAAATTTCAGTTTCCGAATTTTGGATCCCCGTCCGAATTTCATTTAAAAATTAAACTGAATCAGATATGTGACTTTTCTGGCCAATCAGATTTGTTTTTCAGTTTAATGCATCCGAATGGGTCTGAATGCGAATTTTCGTTACAGCAGCATGGGAGCCATATATGCACATACAGTATAATAGTGAGCTAAGCTGAGGCTCCCAGACCTGAATGGCGCTCGGGATCCAAATTTCCGAATTGCATTCGGGAGCTCCCGAATGCCATCCGTGCCTGGAAGCCTCATCTTTAATATGGCTCCCAAACCCGTATTGCTTTCTGGAGCTCCCTAGTGGTATTCGAAAACTCGGATTCCCGAAGGCCATTCGGGTCTAAGAAATTCAGCTTTAGTATTAATATCTGTATATGGTTTTCTGTGGTATTCGCAACGAATATTCCTAAACTCATCCAAAACTAACGAACATTCTGATTTCGTCCGAATCCGAAACCCGAACCGAATTGCATTTCGGATCCGAATCCCGAAAACAACGAAATATACGAACCGAACCAAACCAAATTTTTTTGCAGCTTACATGTCTAGTCAGCAGTTACCTCAGGACTGCCAGCTGGACTAACCTCTGGATTATCTTCAGAATTCCTTTCTTTTCACATGCTTCCCCACCATCCCCCTTTCTCTACTTTCCCTTGTCACGGTCAATCTTTATGGTGTAATGTTACCCACTTTGTGGGTAGACAGTGGGTGGTAAATGATAATTTGGTTGGTGTACGTTATTGCTGCTTGAGTCTTGATGACTAAGCATGGTGGTCTGTTAATGGTTAACAGTGGTTCTGTTTGGTAATAAAGGTTAAAGTCTATTTATTGGTTAAATTGATTAAAACCCAATAAAGGGGCTGCGGCCTATAGTTATTCCATAATCGTTGTATTTTACTTTGTTATTAAGGTTTATTGTTATGGTATGATGGGTGTTAATGAGGTGTACAAACCCATGACATGTCAGCCTCCACCGACAGCATCCTAGGATACAGACATCACATATACCAGGAGGCTGCAGGCTTCCACACAGAAGAAAGGTTCCAACCTTACCCCGCTTTGTCCACAACTAAAACATACAGAGTGGAATTTATCAAACCTGAAACAGACAAAATCTGGAGCAGTTGCCCAGGGCAGCCAATCAGCTTCTCTCTTCAGTTAAGATTTGAAAATGAAAGAGAGAATCGGATTGGTTGCCATTCACAGATGCTCTAGATTTATCCTGCTCCAGTTTTGATAAATTCCCTTCAGTATTATCTGGAGCTACACTTTAACTAAACAAATATTTATTATGAGTAACTGAATGATAAAAATCCTCTACTCACCTGGGATGGTGTCATTGGGCCCTGAGCATGGAACCTTTTTGATCAGCTCCCCAGTGATACCAAACTCCTCCTTACAGGAACCATCTGGTAATGCTGCTTTGACGTAAACGAACGGTTCTTGGTGAATGGTCACTATCTGTGGATGAAAGAGAAGATGAAATATGTTAAAGAGGACAGAGCACATTGGAATAACCACAATTAAGGTTCTCTCTGCATACGATTCTGCTGATGTTTTTGTCAAATTCCAGAAAAATGGAGATTAAACCAATCTGCAGAAGTGTATAAAGGCATAGCTGAAAAGCACAGAAGGACATTGAAAAGATAAAGCACTACTGAGGATTTGAGTAACAGTGTATAAGCCAATACATTTAAAGCAGAATTCCGGGCACAAATTGCTTCTTTATTGTCTAGGTTAACAAAAAAGGATAGACTTCTGTTGATTTGTATTTGCTGTCTGTGTGCCCATTTGGGAGATTTCTCCTCACTTCCTGTCTATTCGTCAGTTGTCAGACAGAAAGGGAACTAAGGAAAAAAATAATAATCTTCCTGTCTATTTAAAGGGTGGTAGACATATTCTCCCCACTTCCTGTTAATCTGACTAGTGTAAAATTAGTGTAAGAAAAAACACAAAGTAAAAGAAAATGTCACTACTGTCTAGGTGTCAGACATAATCTCTCCAATTTCTATTTGACTGGTGTTAGACAGCACAGGAAGTAATGAGAAATTCCCCTAAAGGGCCACAAATAGATATAAAAGGGTATATTCTAGTCCAGTGAGAAAGCTTTAGAACCTCCGTCTGGATTTAAGAGAGATTTCCTTTTACTTCCTGTTTGAGTGACAAGAGTTAAATAGAACAGGAAGAGGAATCTCCTCTATGGAGGACACAGACAGTATTTAAAAGCAGACGGGGTTTCTAACCCTTCCCAACACTACTAAAAAAAAATTGAAATTGTTTTTGAAGTTTTGACAAGATAATGGCAATCATTAAACTCTCAACACATTTCCTAGAGTATAACGCAGCAAGAAATGACACCGCAGATGTGAAAACCACAAAACACACTCAGGTTTCTACCTTTAGATTGGTTGACATTTTGTACCCTTCAGGTTTTTCTGTTTCACCTCCCGGCCAAATGATCTTTCTGTCATTCTGTAAAATCTGCAAGAAGGTCAAATCAAGATAAAGCATTGATACCAGGTAGTAAAGACTTGTTTTCCTGCCAGGGTGTAAGTTGTATATCATCCTTAGAATTTAATTCACAATGTAATGTTTTCTAAAAATCAGATTTTAACAATCTAGCAGTGCCGGCTGCATGTGTACACCTACAAAGGATTCTGGGTAAAGCCGACAAGGTAGTAACTGTCATGGTTGGAGAATTTTATCCTCTTCCAATCATGTACTGTAAGCATAGAGTATTGCCGCCATGTTTACAAAGCAAGGGATTATGGGAAAGAGGGCAGCGATGATAATTCAGCAGCTTTCTCCTCCTGGATAAGTGGCAGTGGTGATAACTGTGCAATCATGGTTGGACAAATGACATTTATATAGCAAGGGGCAATTTAAAGGAACCTATCACCAATGAGCTGTACATGAAACAGCAATATTCATAAAAAAGTAAATTATATTGACAGTATAAATAACTGATGTTCCATAGTCCACTTCTAAGAAAATCTGATATCCTTCTGTAACCCTAAGGCTGGGTTCACACCTAAGCGACAGCGTTTTTTGCATTTTTACGCACGTTTTTGTGCATTTTTTGTGTGTTTTTATGCGCGTTTTACGCATATAAATCAAATCGTGTGTTTTTGTGAGCAGATTGTAGGTCACTGATGTTGATGAGCAAACGAGCATAAAACGCATGTAAAAACACGCAAACACACAGCAAACGCGCGTTTTCAATCGTTTCTTATTGAGTCTATGGGGCCAAAATGAGCTGTATTATGCCAAAAAAAAAGCTAATTTCTCCAGCGACAGGCGTTTTACGTATTGCGACACAACACTCAGATGTAAACAGGGCCATAGAAATGAATGGGCATATTTTCTGAGCATTTTTTAGGGCAGAACAAGCTACAAAACAAACTCAGTGTGAACCAGGCCTAAGGCAGGGGTGGGCAACTCTGCCCTTCAGCTGTGCTTTAACTACAAATCCCAATATGCCTCTGCCTCTGGGAGTCATGCCCGTAACTGTCAGTCTTGCAATGCCTCATGGGACTTTTTCACAACAGCTCGAGGGCTGGAGTTGCCCACCCCTGGCCTAAGGGGTCCCATCTTGCCTGACCCTCTTCTGAGACTTATTTTTATTTCAGCCCCGAGTTTACCTGCCATTGAACCGGAGCACTCTGCCTCTCTCAGTCAGATAAGGGGGTGAAGGAAGGAGGGATGCGACTCAAGTCACAACACAGCAGCATGTGCCAATGTGCCAAATTACCTCAGAAAAGGAGCATGGCTAATCATTATTAACATCGCTACAAGTAAGAATCATTGGTGACATGTTATCTGTAGTACCCGTGCACTGGCCAGGTACATTATGTGGGTAACCATTTCAGTCCCAAGCTTTATTTGGCATTGCAGTACAAATAAGTCCCTGACTCACGTGGCTTCCATTGAATATCCCAACTTGGACAAGTTTCCGGTTTTGAAGGTTCATAATGCTGTAGTTAGCAAATTTTCTGTCTCCATCCTCATTAAATTCCACCCTTCCTGTGACTCCTTCCGGGTATTTGGAAGACATTAGCACTCTGACAAATGAGAACAGAAAAATGCCATCAGTGGTATCTACTAATGCACGAAACACTTCTGCAATGACACCAGGAGTTACCTGACAGACGTTACGTGCATTACAGGTAAATTTCCCCTGACATCCTATAGGGACAGGAAGTGAGGGGAAATCTGTCATAGATGAAAACAAGGACCAACCTTTAGTAGAGTGGGGAAGGATTAGAACTTCAGTTTTAAATGCTGTCCTAGTGACAACCATACCCACATTTCTTGCATAGGGGTCACTGGAACACCAGGTAAGGGAAAATCTCCCCAACGAGGTCACATACAGGACAAAAATGTTAGCTCTTCTTTAATCAATCCATGACTAAAAACTGGGCTGAAGGTAGCCTTTAAGGCATTACTATTTCAGGGTCAAGAAGGTTTTTCCTTTGCTTGGCAAACTGGCACGCACTTTATGGGGCCATGGTTAAACTTAATGGATATATTATTGTAGAAGATCTCATGTGTGGTTCTCAGAATGGATACTTCCGCTCCCATTAAGGTGACTATGTCAGCTCATAATAACCTCTTGAATAGCGGCCCTGTTTTCCAGATGTTGGTGTTTCCCACACACCCTCGTGGCGGGTCAGTGATATTTTCTTTTTCAAAAAGCTCATGAATTGCCTGAGCAGCAACAGCCACTGCATCACTGATGTGAGCGGATTCATTCTTCCCATTGATCAGCTGAAGACCGATGACCCCTGTAAGAGAGAGCCGAATAAAGGATTCATCTGGTGAAAGATTATTTGTGAGTATAAATGAGCAATATTGAATCGTATACATCATTTAGAGTGTAAGTGTAGGTAAATATCAAAAGACACACATTTAATGCAGGAGAGGCAGTACTGTCAGCCAATCAGGTTCTACAGCATTGCACAGTTTTGAGTATCTAACAAATGAAGCTTGCTGACTGGAGGAGAGAGTAGAGAGGTGACTTCAAACAGTAACTTGCTTGATGTAAGTTGTTTATGCTGCTTGAGTCTTGATGACTAAACATAGTGGTGTTTTAATGGTTAACAGTGGTTCTGTTTGGTAATAAAGGTTAAAGTCTATTTCCTGGTTAAATTGATTAAAACCCAATAAAGGGGCCGCGGCTATAGTTTTCCCACAATCATTGCTGTATTTTAGTTTATTATTTAGGTTTATTGTTATGGTATGATGGGTGTCAATGGGGTGTACAATCCCATGCTTTTCACTGACTTTCAGTGAAATGAAAACACTCAATTTCACTCATTCCTAGTAACCAGCAATTTACCTGGGTAAGCCCAGTCTCATAAAAAAGAGCATTGTTTGAGGATCTTTGCATAACATATTTATCCTATGTTTTCCATCCACCAAGCAAGTCACTAATATGAAGAACATTGTTCTGTCAGTGTTTTTTTCCATCTTAAAGTTACTAAATGGGAAACCCCTCCATTCCATATTCACTTATAACCGTCAGGTCACCCAGCTTGTACTGTTGACATTTACAATCTTCCTACAAGCAGCCCTAAGACTACAATGCTTGAAGCTGCTGGGTCATTCTTGAAGAACGTAACGCTGGTCATGGAATCCCATTGCTTTTAAAGTGCTACAATGGACTTGGAGCTGCTTAAAGGAGAACTATGAGGTGAGTGCTTTTCACTCACCTCATAGTTCTAGCCGACCTGTGACAATGAGACTGTCACATGTCTGCTCAGTAGATCGGGAAGTGAGCGAACACATACCGGCGTTCGCTCACCTCTCGATCCTGTCACGGCTCTCTGCCGGGACAGGGGAGGGACTGGATTCCCCCCGCTCCGATCCTCCAGCGCTGACTGGCGGAACGGACAGGGGAGGGGGCGGGTACAGCTGGCTCTGCCTCCAGATAGGCAGAGCCAGCTGTCAGTCACGCAGCTGGGCGGATCCAGACATAATCCGCTTCAGCTGCGGCGTATCAGTATACCGCGAGCTGTAGCTTGTGGTATACTGAGCTTAGGGTGATGGGAGGACGCTGGTTTGTGTCCACCCGTTACACTAAGGAGAACTATGGGGAAAAGCCCTAACCCCATAGTTCTCTTTTAAGACATAATATTGTTTTTTGTTTTTTTAGCAATGCTGAGGTTATTGCATTGCGTTCCTCGAGCATGGTAGGATCACATTACCATCAGGCGCATATCGTAAGGCACTTCCAGAAATTTCTCTTTCTCCAACCAACCACACATAGCCAGAGCCTGTCATGTCCAACACGGCTGCTGTCTTGTATATAGTACTGGCATCATCACCACT